GCAACACTTTTGAGGAAAGAAAGAAAACATTCTTATATATGTAGATCATTGTTTTACATTTTATTATTTTATTTTATTCACCTGGTCACCAATAAAGCAAAAAGAGGGGAGGAACCTCTTTATTAGAGTCAAAACATTTAAGAAAATTAAATTTCGAGTTACAAAAGGAATTTTTAGTAAATGGTCGCAAATTACTGTTTACTAAAAACTAATGAAATAAAGAGGCCAAACAAATAATATAGAAATGGTCTGTGTTGAACAAACTTAACAAGACCCGGGTCGGGTCAGCTTGGTTTACAAATTTTTATGTCTACTTATCTGTTATAATTTTTATTTTAGGTTTGTCATATGATGCATTAATGCATTAAGTTTACATATTTTTTCAAATTTATTATACCCATGTTTGATCGTAAATTAAATTTTTTTTGTTTGAAACGTATTTGTACTCAGTTGCTTAGTTATTTATAATAAACTTTGTTATTTTTAATAAAATTATTTAAATGTGTGCATTTAACATTTTTAACTTAACAATTTTCTTTTCTAAAGAAAAATTAATCAAGGGGATATCAAAAAATCGATAACTCCTGTATTATATAATTATTCTTTTTAACTTCATTTTAATCTTAATAGTTCGTGTTATAAAAATTATTACAAGGATTTAGTTGATACTTTTGTCAATTTAAAGCATGATGGAGTGTTATTATTTTGTGTCAGTAACTAAAAATGTATTGTGTTAAACTTAGGAAGGTCGATGAAAATGGTTCTGCCTTCCACTGTTATGACCTATGCCATTTGTAAATTACTCAAATAATGTTAAGTAGTAATTGTAAATGTTAAGTAGTAGATTAAAAGTAAAGTGTAGTAAAGTTGTAAAGTTAAGTAGGAATAATTTTTTCAAGCTGAAGGCAATTTTCTAAAAGGGTATTAGTTAAGGTTTTGCAACATTAAATTGTTGAAAACAGCCACTATAAATTAATTATTTAACAGAGCGACCAAAACCCGTATTACGGGTTGCTTTTTGCTAGTATATATTAATAGTTGTTTAAATGTAGATATTGTACTGAGTTCTACCTGTACTTTGTGCCAAGTTCTTTAACCAATTTATAAAATGACTAAAGTATCAAAAACTATAAAACTCAAAAAACCATTAACATCACCAAGTTCTTTAAATCTATTATTCGGTAATATTTGTGGTCTTCGAGTTTTTCTTCGTTGAGTCATTCCTTTAGTACCACCTCACTCTATCAACTTTCTCTTTGTTTTTATATCGCTCTCCTTCATCTCAAGACTCTTTTCAATTTTATTTCTGATCAAACTGATCTAAGCCCTTTCTCTATATCCTTCCGCCAATACTATTATTGTTGGTGACTTTAATTTCATCACAATGGCTTGGTTCTTGTGTCAGTGACTCTGCAGGTGTTAAGGCCCATAACTTTTGCTTTTCTCAACCTCTAACACAAATAGTAAATTTTCCAACTCACTTTCTAGACAGTCCAAATCATTTACGTTCTCTACTTGAGATATGCTTTGTTTTTGATTCCAGTTAGAGCTAAGTTTCTCCACATTCACCCATAGATGCTTCTGATCACGGTTTAATTCCTTTAAAACTTCATCATCAGAATCCCTCTATAATTGTGCCTCTTAAAATATCTTAAAGTTGAATGGGACTCTTTCCATAATTTTCTTTGTGATGGCAATTGGGAAAAAAATCTTTCGTATTCCTGCTGACAAATGAGCTTCTTATGTAACTTCATAGATTCAGACTGGCATGACGTATTTTGTTCCTTCTCAACAATTCCATGTCAAGTCTCACTCTTCTCCATGGTTTTTCTGTCACTGTGCTGCTGCAATTTCTAATTGTAACCATTATTTCCATATCTATTGCCGGAACAATTCTCCAGCAAACAGACATTTGTTTACTATTGCTAGAAACCATTGTAAAATTGTCTAATGTCAAAGCCTTCTATTTATACACAAAATCTCTTATTTTATCTTAAAAATTAGGCTTCTGAGACTTAGAGAGAATGTTTAACAGTGACTATAATAAGGACAAATCTGTTATTCCACCTCTCTTGCATAGTTCAGATTTTGTTACCTCGCCTAAAGACAAAGCTGAATAGTTTGCTAAGAACTTCAAAATCATCTCTTGATTAGACTAATCAAATCCTTGCTTGATGTTTGTACCACTCCAGCTTCTGTGTCTTAAATAATTTTCTGGTTTAACTCTTCTACAGCTTGTGATCTGGACTGTGATCATACTTGTGTGATCATACTTGTGTGATCATACTTGTGTGATCATACTTGTGTGATCATACTTGTTATAGTCTTGCAGAAGTGCACTCCGGAGCTGTCATTTATACTTTCAAAACTATTTAAAATTATTCAAGTGCTTGCCAGAATCTTGTTTTTTAGTCTGCTGGAAAACAATATCTGTTATCCCTATTTTCTGACTTACCTAACACCTGTCCCATTATTTTTCTTCCTATCATTATTATTCTTCCTATCAAGCAAAATAAGTCTTTGTTGATTGAGTCTTTGATCAACAAAAACTGGATCTCTCATCCTGAATCTAATAACTTACTTTCTGATAATCAACATGGATTTTGATCTTTTTGTTATACTGCAGATATGTTAATGGTAATAACTGATTAGAATTATCATGCATTAGATAGATGTAAAGAGGCTAAGGCTTTTGTTCTCCACATTTCTATAGCTTTTGATAAAGTTCAGAATACTGGTCTTCTCCATAAGTTCTATTTTTACGGTGTATCAGGAGATATCTTTAGGATTATTGAATCCTTTCTTACTATTTTTGTATAAAAGTTGTTCTGGATGGACAACACTGTTCTTCATTTCCGGTAATTTCAGGGTTTCCTCAAGGTTCAATCCTGGCCCTATACTTTTTATTCATTGACATTATCAATCTTCCAGATATTCTTACATCTAAGGTGGCATTGTTTGCTGATGATACTACCATTTATTTATGTCTTGATAAGAAGCCAACATTCTCTGATTGTTTGGAGGAGGCATTTAAGCTTAAAAAGGCTCTTATTTCTACTACATCATTAAGCTCGCTGTGGCTGGTCAACATTAACTCAGATAAAACTCAATTTTTTTCAGTTTATTGTTATCGCAATAATCTCGATCTTTGTATATTTATGTACCGTGATGTACTTGATGAGCCATCTACCCTTTGTCTTGAAGGATTAACTCTTACTTTCAATCTTCTTGAAAACTATATCTAACCCATTGCAAAATTAGCATCTTATAAGGTTGCATCTCTTTATCATGCTTGCCACTTTCTTACTCTGGATTCTATTCTTTATCTCTATAAATCTCTAATCCATCCTTGAATGGAATACTAATGTCTTGTAGGCAACCTTCAACCCTTGGTTATAAAGTTGCTTATCTTTCTTTTTTCTATAAATACTATAAAGGACGCTGCTCAAAAGAGCTAACATCTCTTGTGCCATCTACTAAAATTTATTCTTGTGTTACTTGTCACTCAATTAAATCTCATCTTTTTAGCTGTAATCAAAGAGCTCCTAAAATTCTTATTTGTCTAGCTTTTTTCTTCAATCATCAGTTTTTTGGAATTCACTTCCTTCATCTTGTTTTCCTGAATCATATAATTTGCAATCTCTAAAGTAGTATGTTAACTGTTATCTTATTTTATAAAGTTTATTTTTTCACTTCCAGAAACTTTCAACTTTAATAGTGGTTGATTTTAATTCTAATAGTGGTTATTCATTCTTATATGCGCGTCTATTCATTTTTATATGCGCTGTTACTCATTCTTATATTTGCCTTCATTCTTATATATGCATTTATTCATTTTTATATGCGCCTTTATTCATTCTTATATGCAGAAAGCATTTTGAATTTTTTTTAAAAATTTAATCATTTATATAAGCGTTTTAAAAAAGCAATTTGAACAAAAAAAATCATTTACATGTAAGTAATTTGTTTTGAAAAAACAATTTATTTTTTTAAAACAAATTTTTCTTATTTCCTTGTAAACGAGGTTGAAAATACTTAAGATGAAGACTTTTTACATTCGATGATAGTTTATATAATTTAGTATTAGGTCTTTGTTTAATTTTATCATTAAACTTATTGATTGATTAAATTATTATTTAACTAAATACTCATTTATCTACATTTAAATTTAATTATTTATAAAATAATTTAAATTATTTATATAAATAAAGGTGCATATAAGAATGAATAAAGGTACATATAAGAATGAATAAACACACATATAAAAATGAATAAATGTGCATATAAGAATGAATAACCCTGTAACAGATATTGGTAATTATATATTTGCATTTAACAGATATTGGTTATTATAATTACAGATATTGGTAAAAAAATTTGTCACAGAAATTTTATTACCAATATCTGTTGCAAATATGTTACTTTATATTATAGATTATGGTTTCTAATAAATTTTATTTCATATTAATGAACTAATAGTTTTTTTTTTGTATTTAGGATTGCAAAGTTGTTGGTTAAAAAAAAAAGCTAATATTTTCTAAAGAAAATCAATTATTATTTAAATTTAAATTTGTTTTTATAATAACTAATGAGTAATATGGTAGCACAACATCAACATGATCAACAAAGATTGGAATATTAAAAACAATTTTTTTAAATATTTTGATGCGACATACTATATGAAACATGATCTTTCATATAATTTCAAATTAATAAATTTTGAGAACTGCTTGTCTAGACTCAAATATTTTTCTTAACTTTGCTCGATCTATGGTATTTGTAATTTATCATGCTAAAATATTGGAATATCATTTTAGCAAATCAAAACTCTGTCTCCTCACATAATTTGTTATTTAACGGACATTAAATGATTAGATTCTAATTTAAAGTGCAGTTATAAGAATGTTTATTACTTTGGTAAAAGTTTAAAAAAATATTGAAATTTTTTTTTATATTTTTGTTAGCATTGTCAAACCAAATATATAAAAGTATATACATACAGAAAATAATGCAGCTTCTTTTTCTCTTTGAATTAGTTGCATTTCATCTTCTCTAGCTTGCTTTTCAGCTTCTCGTTCTTGTCGTCTTTTTTTGACTTTTTCAAGCTCAATTCGCATTTCTTCTTCTTTTTCTTTCTGACGCTTTCTAGATTCAAATTCTCCCTTGATACCCTCACTCTCAAATTTCTTAAGAAAATATTTGTAACAATATGATGGAACTATTATAATCATAACTTTTGGATGCCTTTAAATGAAAGTGAACTAAGCGCCATCTATATGGTTTTGAGAAAATGGTTTTCTTTCTGTTACTACAGCATACTGGATACAGCATTTCGATTTTTTTCTTGGTCTTTTCCTACTTATTGACAACAATACTAACTATAGCGTTGCCAATAAGCAGGAAAAGATCGAGAAAAAAAGTGAAATGCTGTTCCCACTATACTGTAATAAACAGAAAAAAAACCATTTTCTCAAAACTATACCGATGGCGCTAGGTTCTGTTCCGCTTAAAAACATCCAAATACAATTAATAAACATTGCGGACTTGAAAAAATAAGCAATACAAAACTTACTTTTTCCCACACAAAACTTTCTGTCAAGTGACTGTCTCCAAATGGATTATTAGTATCTGTATAACCAAGATCACCAACTCCTAATTTCTCTTTCATTCTTTGTAACTTTGCTTCTTTTTTGGCTAACCTGCGCAAGCGTTTTTCCTCTGCAGTCTCATTTGCTTTAAACAATTCTTTACGACGTCTACAATGAATGAAAAACAATATTTCCATCTATGAATTAAGCTTTTCACAGCACACATAAAAATTACATTAGATATGTTTACGAGCCAGGAAACTCATGTAAAAACTTTAACACTTATAGAAAATTAAATTTCAATTTTAATGTTATAATTTAATGTAACAACATTTAATTAATTTTTATTTTTTAGATTATTAATATTAAAATTTAATAGTAATAATAATAGTAATAATAATATTAATATTAAAATTTAATAAACTAGTAACACAAGGTAAAAAAATCTCTTCTGATAAATTCGATTGTTCAATTTTAATTCAGTTCAACTTGAAAGAAATGCAACCTAACAACAATGGCAACTTTTATATGTAACAGAATAAAGTGTTGTAGCTTGAGCAGGTCTAACTTCATTTAACACTTTTAAATCTACAAAGAATCTTACAAACCTACAAATTCTTTAAGTCTACAACAAAAAATAAAAGAAGTAAACTCAGTAAGTAACTTTCTTATTCAACACAACTTTTTAATGCAGTCTTGACAACAACAACAACAACAACAACAACAACAACAACAACATTAACAACAACAACAACAACATTAACAACAACAACAAAAATTCATTACCAAGTTAGTATCGGTTTAGGTTGCCTAAACAGATACTAACTTGGTAACCTTCTGCAGTTTTTTTTCTCCTAATTTCATTTTTTACTTCAATGAATCTTTTATCCATCTTTATATGAAATACTTATTGTTGTCATATTTAGGCTAGTTTGGTAAAAAAAAAACAATAAAAATGTAGTTGGACCTGCTTAAGCTGCACAGCTTGAGTATGTCTCATTGTCACAAAGTTTGGTCTGTTTCTTTTTCTACAAATACTAACATGGTTGCTGCACAAGCCATAATCTCTTGTTTCCTGACTAAAAATTTCATTGACTAAAACACAATTTGTCTCTCTATTTATATGGTTATTAAGTTGCTCCAAGAAGATTTAACTCTTTTCTCAAAGAACACAGTGGAGGAGTATTTAACTCTTTTCTCACAGAACACAGTGGAGGAGTATTTAACTCTTCTCAATTTCAAGAATTATAATGTCAGACCTCTCAACTCTAAAGCCAGTACTCTAACCTAAGCACCATAGCTGCTCAAACTCTTCATTAAGATAAGTTGCATTCCTTTACTGGCACTGTTGCATTATGTTCAAAATGCTTTTCTTTGTTGAATTATTTCCCCCGATGTTTTAGCTTTTAGTTAACTGTTTTAGTTCCCCTGATGAGTTAGCTTTTTAATTTTAGTTCTATTCTAGCTAACCTTTGACGTGGTACTGGTTAAACTGTAAGTAACTATGTATATATATACATATATATATATATATATATATATATATATATATATATATATATATATATATATATATATATATATATTTGCGTTCTGTTTGAACTTCCTGTGTAGATTGATTACCCATAAGTTCTTATAAGTATGTTGTATTATTATTTATAATAAACTTTACAAAACTATGATAATTTAAAAAAAAGATTTTCATTTTTCATTTTTTTAATTAAAAAAGTAAAAAAAGTAAAGTTCTGTTTAAAAAAATAAACTGTTGCTTTATTTGAAAGCTCTTTGTTAATATATAACCATTTGATTAGAATAAATTAAAGTTTAGAAAGTTAATTCTTTTAGAGCGTAATTATTGTTTTTCAAAAATATTGACATACAAAGTATTGACATAATTTACAAAAATATTGACAATTATAAGTATGGTGAAGCATAAGCTAAATGCATCTTACAAAATATTACCTGTAACATGGATTAAATGTTCAGTTGGTAGGAGATTTTTAGGTACCCATTCTAAAGTCTTGCGGTCTCACATAAAAATATGTATGTAGGTATTGGGAGTATGTAATGAAAATGAACATTTTGTATTGAGACTCAGATAATTCAAAAGTTATATTTTCGGTAGGCATATATCCAATTGAGTTGATTTAAATTTTACCTGAAAGCTAAAATCCTAGGCTGCAAACATCAGTCTAATTTTAACTGCCAGTGTAAAGACATTTACACTCCGGCAAAATTTTATGTCATTTTTTCATTATGCAAAATTTTAAACATGATTGAGTTTATGCTTACAAAACCCTTTTAGTAGGGAAACCTTTTACATAACTTCCATTGAAAGACAACAGCAGCTGAGGTGATTAGAATATTAGTGAAGGCATATAGCAACAATGCTCTTTAAGAACAAACATTCAGAAGTTGGATTCAACAATACAAGGGTGGCGGTTTAAACCTCAAAGATAAAGAACATCCTGATGCTAAAAAAAAAATTGAGAATACAGAATTTTAGGCATTACTTGAGGAAGATTCATGCCAGATTTCAACAGTTTCTAGATGCTTGAAACAACTGGGAATGATTCAAAAGCAAGGATATTGGGTGTCATAGGAGTTAAAACAGAACTACATTAAAAAATGATTTTTTATCTGTGAACAGTTACTAACCCAACAACAAAAAAAGTTTTCATGGTTTTATAAATTGGTTTTATGCGCTGGTTTTATTAACAAGGCCAATAAGCCATCAACATCAACAATAAAATTAAATATTCATGGTTCATCCAAGCTCTGTATCTGGTGGGACCAGCTCGGAGTAATATACTATAAGCTGCTTTTTACTTTTTTTTTTCAACATCTTTACTTCCAACAAGGCTGCAAGCAACAACTATTAGAGTTGGAAGTTATTGAAGGAGAAAGGATGAAGTTAATAGTGCAAGATAACGATTAACAGAAAACTTAAAAGATTGCAAATTATATGTATCAGGAAAACAAGATAAAGGAAGAGAACTCTAAAGAACTGATGTTCAAGCAAAATATATAGATGAATAAGAATTTTTAGAGTACAACAGGCTCAGTAAAAGGATGAGACTTAATTAAATGATGAGTAAAACAAGGATGTATTTTAATAGATGGCACAAGAGATGCAAACTCATTAGAGCAGTGCCAGTTAAAGTATTTATAGAAAAAAGAAAGAAGCAATAATACAACAAATGGACAAATGTGATAAAGGTCGGAATTTAACTGCAAGAGCAGGTTAAACTATGTTTACAAGGCCTTTTCGCACCTTATCTAAAAGAGAAAGGGCATCATAGGAAGATCTGTTCCATATATGGCAACAGTATTCCATACAATGACAGATTTAAGATATATAGAGATAAAGAATAGAATCTGGAGTAAGAAAGTGGTGAGCAATTATGTTAATGGTGCAATCTAAGCACATGCTAATTTTGCGATGGATTTGATATATGGTTTCCTACAAAGATCAAAAATAAGAGTTAATAGTAGAAGGTGAAGTGTAGATGACTCATCAAGTACATTACTTTTCATAACTATAGAAAGATCAAGATTATTGCGATAACAATAAACTGAAAAAAAATTGAGTGTTATCTGAATTAAAGTTCACCAGACACAGAGAGCTTAATGCTGTAGCAGAAGTGAAATCATTTTCAAGTTTAAATGCTTCTTTCAAATAATCAGAGTGTTGGGTTCATATCAAGTAAAGAATAAATGGTAGTAACATCAGCAAACATAATCTATAATATAGGGATGAGCACTTCTTATCCCTATTTTCAAAAACTCTAGAGAGGGTTCTGACTTTGACTATTGTCCCTTTAGTCTTCTTCCTATCATAAAAAAAGTTTTTAAGTTTTTAATTAACAAAAACTTAATCTCTCTCTTTGAATCTAATAACTTACCTTCTGATCATCAATATGGATTTCTATCTTCTTGTTCTATAGCTGATTTGCTAACAGTAATAGCTGATAGGTTTTATCGTGCATTAGATAGAGGTAGAGAGGTAAAGGCTATCGCTCTTGACATTTCTAAAACTTTTGATAGAGTTTGGCATGCTGGTCTTCTCTGTAAGCTTTCTCCTTACAATGTATCAGGTAATATCTTTAAGATTATTGAATCCTTCCTTTGCAAACATAGTATAAAAGTTGTCCTCAATGAACAGCACCCTTTTTCATATCCTGGAACTTCAGGGGTCCTTCAAGGTTCTATCCTTGACCCTATAATCTTTTTAATTTACATTAAAAATCTTCCAGATATGCTCACATCTAAGGTGGCATTGTTTGCTAATTATACTACTGTTTATTTTTGTCTTGATAAGAAGCAAACACTCTCTGATTGCTTGGAGTTTGAAATTTGAGCTTGAAAATTGAGCTTGAAAAGGATCTCACTTCATCAACAGCATGGGGCTCACAGTGGCTGGTGATCTTTAATTCAGATAAAACCTAATTTTATTTAGCCAATCGTTATCGCAATAATTTAGATCTTCCTATATTTATGAACAGTAATGTACTCAATGAGCCATCTAGCCTTCATCTTCTAGGATAAATTCTTACTTCAGATCTTCCTTGGAAATCATATATCAAACCCATTGCAAAATTAGCATCTGTTAATGTTGTATCTCTTTATAGTACTCAACACTTTTTTAATCCAGATTTTATTCTTTATCTCTATAAAATCTCAAATCTGTCCTTGCATGGAATGCTGTTGCTATATCTGAGGCGGATCTTCCAATGATACCTTTTTTCTTTTAGACAAGGTGCAAAAATGCTTTTAAACATAGTTAGACCAGCTCTTGCAGCCAACCTCCAACCATTATAACATTGTCGTAGTGTTGCTTCTCTTTCTCTTTTCTACAAATACTATAATGGACACTGCTCTAAAGAGCTAGGATCTCTTGTACAATATACTATGATTCATTATTGTGTTACTCGTCATTCAAATAAGTCTTATCCTTTTTCTGTGACTATTCAAAGTGTTCCTAAAACTCATTTTTTTTTTCTTTCTCAAACATCATTTTTTTTGGAATTCACTGTCTTAATCTTGCTTTCTCAATTCCTACAATATGCAATCTTTTAAGTTGTCTGTCAACTGTTATCTTGCTCTATAAACATCTTTTCTCTTCCAGTAACTTCCAACTCTAATAGTGGTTGCTTGCAGCCTTGTTGTAAGCAAAGATGTCGAATGAACAAAAAAAAAAAAACAATCTTTAAATATTTTGAAACTATACACGATAGCTCTGGAGAAAACCAATGGATGACTATAACAGGTAAGTTTTCCAAACTACAAGTTGTAGAAGATTCTAAGCAGGAAACCACTTCAGATAAAGAAGCTGGAGTGATTTAAATGTCAAACAATGGATTGACCTGTTTTTCAAGTATATCAGGTAGAATGCAACTAGTGGAATCAAGAGATGATATTGATGAAAAGTTCTTAGCAAACAATTCAGCTTTGTCTTTTGCCCTTTTAGGTGAGATGACAAAATCTGAACCATACAAGAGAGGTGGAATAACAGATTTGCCCTTACCATAGATACTGTTAAAGATTCTCCAGAAGTCACAAGAGCCTAAATTTTGAGATGAAATAGGAGATTTTGTAACTTGAGAATAGTAGGCTTTGGCATTAGACAAAATCTTTTTACAATGGTGTCTAGCAAACAGACATCTATTTTCTGGAGAATTGTTTTAGTGATAAAAATAGAAGTAATGATTACGATTGGAAACTGCAGCAGAACTATGAGAGGATAACCATGGAGAGAAATGAGGCTTGACATGAAAATGTTTAGATAGAATAAAGGATTCCATTCCAACCAGAATTCAAGAAGTTACATAAAAAGCACATTTGTACGAAGGAAGATGAAAGATTTCTACCCAAGAGTCATCACAAAGGAAATCACAGTTCCAGTCAGTTTTAAGGTAGTTGTAAGAGGTACAATGATAGGGGGATTCTGATGATGAAAAAGAATGATGTAACAGTTTTAAAGACACCGTGACCAAAAGTACCTAAGTGTGTATGTGGAGAAACTGAGCACTGACTAGGATTAGAAACAAGACATTAGTCAAGTAGATTCAGATTGTCTGGAAAGTGAGAAGGAAAGGCAAAAGTTGTGAGTCATAATGCCTGCAGAGTTACTGATACTAGAACTAAGCCATTCAGTGTGATGAGCAATAAAGCCACCATCAACAAATATATTGGCTTAGAATAAAGAGAAAGGGCTTAGTTAATTTGATCTGAAATTACATTAAAACTGAGCGTAGTCTTGAGATGAAAGTGAGCGATATAAATATAGTGGGCCAGTTATTGACTAAAGTCAAAATTTTGACATGATCAAATCTGTCTAAAACGTATGTACTATAAATATTATTAATTTTTATACCTAATTAAAATTCTGAAGTTATTTTATTATTTTTGTTGTAAAATAATTTCTTTTCATCTTTCCTGAACAAAAGGAAAAGTTGACAATTTTTTATAACTTTTTTTTACATTATTATACAGTTTTATTAATTAATTTTGTATTGATTGCTATTTCATTACATTTTAACATTTAAAAGGTAATACTTAGCCACTGTTGTGGATGCTAATGTCATTTTAGGCTGTAATAAATGAATAATAGAATAGGCGTAACATAAAAGCTTATTCTTATTATTTAAATTTACCAAACCTAAAAAAAAGCCTAGCTATTTTTTATTTTATTGTTAATTTTTTCCAAAACTGTGATCAAAATTTTTCACATAATTTTACGTGAAAATAATATAAGCACTTTTAACTCTAAAGCTCATGAACAACTTTTAAGCAATTTAAGTTACTAAAAATGTTTTGCATCAGCGATAAATTAAATGAATTTACCAAAAGTTATAAAAACTATTAGGTTGTTGCTATGCAAATTAGGTATTCATAAAACTAGGTATCCATAGCAACCAACCCCCTCAGAAGAGCAAACCTTATGTTAATAGTGTATATAGCACATGTAAAAGATCTGCAACTACTAAAAAAGGTTGTTGTTGAGCAAAATTAGGTCTCCATAGCAACCAAATATAAAAATATCACTTTCATAAGAAACCTAGAACTTATACAAGTACTCATGCCAAACTTAGTAAAGAAAGACCAAATATTCAATTAGTCCATTAAAACTTTGTCCATTAAAAGTGGATTCTGGCCCAAATGCAGATGTCCAAAAATATAAAAAATTTTGATTTGTATACATATATTGGGCAGAGTTACATATAACTATTTTTTAAGTTTCATAAAAATTGAAATAGTATCATTTTATATCTGCTTTTAAAATATGGTGTTTTTTTTTGCACAATATATAACTCTTTGCTATATTTGTATAAAAATTTTTAAGCAAATGTAACTTTCTAAAGAACTTTTATTTATTTATTCAAAAATGCTGATGATAAAATAAATTTCTGCTGAAGAGTGTACTATTAGCGACTAAATTGTCCTTATTAAAAACTTATTATTTTTCTATTATTAACTTATTATTTCTCAAATAATTACCTTTTTTACATATGTAAAAACTAGCAAAATCGAAAATATTTTAAGCTAATTAGGCATAGAATGACCCGTATTTCAGTTTAAATAAGCTACAAACAGTAAAAAAAAAGGTAGTTAAATTGATTTTTGTTAACAATTTTAGTAAATAAAATAGAAGTGAAACCATTAAATAATTAAAGAAACTAACTAAATTTATTAGTTTTTTAAAAACTACAATAACTAATGATTTCTCTAAAATTTTATTTTTATTAAAATTTTATTTTAATTTTATTCTTTTTTGAGTCTATCAACTTTTTAACAGACATTTTTTTAGAATAAGCTTTAAGTGACCTAATAATTGGATATCAATATTTAATACGGATTAGTATTCACTAATTGCACTAATTTTTGTAGCAATAAGTCAGACATAGCATGCTATATTTCCTACCAAGGTATTTTTTATTTTTAAAACAAAGCATGCTAAAGATGATTCAGTTTGTTTAAGTATGATTCAGTTTGTATTTTGAAAATATGACTGGTCATTTTCCCTACAAATTCTAGTATTTAACTACCTACCCCTACGAATTCTAGTATTTAACAGTTACAACAGAAGTTTTTCTGTTTACTCTTATAATTTTCTTTCAACAGTCTATCTAACCATATAGCGCATGTTTTTTCATTAAGTTTTAAGCTTTGAGTTAAAAAAGAAGGTACCATGATCTAGGGCTACTTGGACCCGAATTTGAGACATGTTTGAGGTTCTCTCCCAAATCTATGATTATGTAAAAAAACTTGTTACTAATTCATAGACTTAGGTATTAGTAATGATGATTGTAGAGAAAAAAATAATTGAGGGGAAAGGAGGTCCCAAATTTTTTGAAGGTTGGATTCAAGTAGGCCCAGTTGAGGGGCTACATTGAACAACACAATGAACCCCCTCCACCTATCAATCTAGATACGATTTCACAATAATTTGAGGATCAAATGAGGTTAGTGGGTAGCTAAAAAATGAAACTTTATTCAAATAATCACAGAACAATTTTCTTTTATATTTGCAAACTAGTTTGGTAAAATCAGTTATGATAGTATGTAGTATACCCAAAAAGGCGTATAACTATAGCTATAACCAAAAATCAACATTATTTAGTTATACACTTTATAACCTAACAGATATTAAAAATATGGTTAATACAACAGATATATTAACTCCTTTTAATAATATTTTATATCTTTTTAAGAAGTTGATATATCTGTTACATTTACCATGGGGTTTAATATTATCGGAAAACAAATTTAATCATATTCAAACATAAGCTGCTACAATAATATTTAGGTTCGAGTAGCTCCAATTTTTATCTTTTTTTGTTATATTTGAACAGACAAAACTATTACATATAATATTTTTTTATTATTTTAGTTTCCTTCAAAAATATTTGTGATCACTTCTTGCAAAAAAAATTAATAACTTTTTATTTAAGTTACTTTATTCGAGTAAGTGTATAATTAATTTATTTACTTTCTAACCAAATAATTCTTTAAAAAATAAACAATAAAATTTTTATTTTTCAGGCCTTAAATAACCCCATAAAATTTAAAAGGTAAATTGAACCAGAGGGTCGATTTACCTTGTAAATTTTATTAGTAGTTATTTAGGTGATTACAAAGAAAGAAAAAAATAAAATTTTTAGATTTGATAAACAGGAGGTTGAATTTACTTATAAGCCTTTATTTTTTCTTCTTTACTTATTAAGTAAAGAAAAACTTAAATTTTAAATAAGAATAGTTTAAGTAACTTAAAATATTCTTATTTAAAATTTAAATAAGTATAGTTTTTAAACAACTATTAATAAAAAATATTTTAATGAAAATATTTAAAAAAAAAATTAACATGATGATTTTATATCAGTGCAAAAAAATATAAAAGTGAGATTTTTTTTAGATCTTTTTTTAGATGATTTGATATTAACAACAACAATAACAGCAACAACAGCAACAACAACAACAACAACAACAATAACAATAACAACAACAACAACGACGACGACGATGACGACGACAACAACAATTAAAATTGCTTTTTAACTCTTGGAGGATCGTAAGAGTTAAACTATTTGGAATTATTTCAAACTATTTAGTAAAAAATTTGATAGTCGAGATTAGTCAAATAAATTTTATATTTTAAAATATTATCAAAACACGTATGTGCAGACGTAGACGTATTATGATGGATGTTTTTGTCCTCAAAGAGTTAACCACTTTCATATATTTTTTCATATTCACTCACTTTATCATTCGTAGAATTGAATATTCAAAAAGCAAAATAAATAAATATACTTTTGTTCTTTTTTCAATCTGTCTAACTCTTCCTCGTACGATATACTTTTGTGTTTGCCCATATTAATTGAAATATATTATTAAATAAAAAATGTAGATTAGTTAATGTACAAAATGGTTTTGAAAATGTTTTATTGAATATTTCTTCAAAGTTCAATGTTTTAATGTTTCGATCGAAACTCGCTTGAGCGAGTATTGTCGTTCTCACTCGATCTCGCTCGAAACTCGCTCGATCGAGCGAGTATTGTCGTTCGACTATCGTGCAAATACGGACTTTTACAAAAACAGTTACAGTAACGAAAACGAGGATCAAATATCATTAAATTTTTTGAATTGTCGTTATCGTAGCCATTTATTGTAAAAAAGAAAAAAGTTTTCGAATATTTTCTGTATGGATTTTTTTTTTTGCATTAATGTATATAACTTTCACGGTTTAAACGGTTTTATATAAATCGTTATATTAATAGTAACAATAATCTTCCAAATTTACAATGCAATCTTTTTGGCCTTAATTATAGCAAACTCTCTTATTTATTCCTCGTACTTTTGACTAGTGCTTATTTCATGCTCAATGTTCAGTAATGCTAGCCCATGGAGCCGCTCTTGTAACATGATGGTCCTAAAATATGTCTCAATCAATTTCAGCTTGGAGAAAGACCTCTCCCCAGTAGTAACAGTGACTGGAATTGTCAGCATAATTCAAAGCGCTATGCAAAGTTTAGACTATAGGTATTTTTCTTGGTAATATATTGAAGCACTTCTTTTGTTGATGTCACATCAACTAGTAGTAAGTTGATAATATTCAAAATTTCCGTAAAATGTTCTTGGCTGTCAATATCACTTCTCCCCTTTCTATCCAGTTTTATTTTCAATTCTTCACAACTAGTAATTAACCCTTCTTTATCAACATTAAAAAGGAATCCAAATGTTCTACACAAATGATTCAGTTCAGTGAATGGTTCATACAACCATGGAAGTATAAAACAGATGGAAGTTCATCTAGCCGCAAACATCAAAGCAATTTCAAGTCGTCTCGGGAGTATGCTTGTAACCGACAATTAAAAAAAAAACAAGTTTCACTGGATAAAAAAACAACAAAATTCACTGAAATGATCTTTATTAAAACATTAAAAAATGAATTATTCTAGGGATATGTTGCAAATTTTTAGCCATTAGTAATTGTAATTATTCAACAAAAGGTTTATTAAAACTCGGTAATTAAATAGAACCACTTGATTTTAAAAGCATATGTTAGTTTAAGCTTCTTTTCTTGCTTCAAGTCATAACACGACATTTGATAAAAAAGACAACTGAAACAATTTTGAAAAAAATCAAAAAAATTGTTTTCTAAGTAACTAAAGTTTAAAGTTTTATTAGCTGTATATGATAACTCCATTCATTCTTGTAGTACTCCATTCATTTAATATAAAGTTTATAAAAAAAGTTGTTGTTTGCCGTTGCGTTGCGCCATTTTTAATGTTTTTCTTGAATATTATCGGCGAACCTTCAAAATACTATACTTTATCTATTTGCGTCAACGTATAAAGATTAAGCGTTTAAGTACAGTCTTGATGTCGTTTTCTTATTGTTTACGAAACAAAAGGTTACAAGCATAGTCCCGAAAAACTTCAATGCGGTTGAACTTCCATCTGTTTTATACTTCCATGATACAACCCATATATTACTTCTATTGTCTCATTGAAGAAGTTAATACGTAAATTTTCCATTGGCGTAAACTGTGTTTATTCAGCTTATTCGTAGAGAGATTGTTTTTTGGTCTTTTTATTCGAGGCTGAGGCAGCTCAGTATCAATTTCACAGCTAGCTGCAATTTTCTGAGCTTCAAGTAACAAACTGTCAAAATTATTTCTAAGTGCACTGAGAGCTACTTTACAATTATTGATATATTGCATAGCTAATTAAAGGTCCATATTTTCAGATTGCAAGTACTTGCTAGCAATATTAATCTGCAGCAGGAGTTTATACCATATCACAATCTTTGTGATGAAGGCATATGATGATAATTCGTTTGTCAAAGATCTGAGTTCAGCAGAAGCAAAAGGATCACTTCTTGAGTTTTCTAAATCTTCTAATGCTTTTAAAATTTCAGGTAAGTGGTTGCTAACAACTTTTACACTTTTTGTTTGAGTTTTCCATCGTGTCTCACTCCATTTCTTTATTGTAGCTCCAACACATTGTTCCATGATTTTCCATCTATGTGGTGATGCTGAGGAAAATGCATACAAGCGAATCTGCATGAAGAAAATGCATGAAGCTATCCAAAAAACAACTTTCGGATGCATTGCATTTGCCTGCATAAAATTTAATGAATGGTCACCACACGGAGAGTAGAAAGCTAAAGGGTTTTGTTCCAGAGTTCGTGCTTGCATTCCTTTAAGCAATCTTTCATGTTGTTTCCATTGTCATATCCTTGTCCTCTGCAGTCATCAATATTTGTCGTTTTCAGACAGAATGGTAGTAACTAATTTTGAAATTCCTTCACCTGTTTGATCTTCAGCTACCATAAAAAATATTGTTTAATTGTTGCAGAACTTCCTGAAGTTTCGACAAAACGTACCACCTCAATCATTTGCTTTTTATAGGCCAAGTCTGGAGTGTAATCCAATATGAGGGCAAAGTATTTTGTCACCTTCAGACAATGAATAATTTCAGTTAGTACTTTTCTTGACATAAGTATGATTAGCTCATTTTGAATCCTGTTACTTAAATAATGATTTGACAATTGGTTGTTGTTCACTCGACGAATATGCTCCTGCATCACACTTTCAAACATTACCAATAACACCACTAGGCCAAGAAAGTTTAGGAACTTTTGTTGGTGTCAGTTTCCTTGATGTTTTATTTGATGCAGGTTCTGTCAAAGCGTTTAGCACAAAAATATTGTCCTTACCATTTTCATTAATTGCTGCTACTGCATCATAAACTGCCCTTATTAGAGACTTTTGAATGGGCAAAACTTGGTTTTCGTGTTGTGGTCGGTGAAAAATGATTTTTGGCAAAAGTTCTTTTTCTCATCTTTTTCTCATCCTCTTGTTTTTTTTTTTTCGTTTGTTAAATCCACTTGCACAATTTCGACTCATTCTCAAAGTCTACTGTTTTCAGCACAAGTTATCACATTACAAAATTTTCAACATGTTATGCATCATTGACCGTATCACGAACGTACTGAGAGTAACAGACGCCGCGCCAGGCTCTCCAATTTTGCCCAAGAGTAAACAGTATTGATGCACAATTTAAAATTTTAATGTTTTTTTTATTTTAAAATTTTGAAAAAATTTGAAGCTCGTTTGGGGCCCCTTGGACATTGGGGGCCCCAGACAACTGCCTGGTTTGCCAATTAGTAGGGACGGACCTGTATCAAACTATTATTTTTGTTTACAAATCTTATTTAAATTAATGCGATGAAGTTAATTTATATAAGCTTTTTTTGGCACTCTCCTACGTTTAAACCCAGCAAGAGAGAACGCTGTGTAAGGGCTTCATTGCGGTTTCTTTTTGTATTTTTGTTGTAAAGTTCAAGTTCAAGTTGTTGTAAAGTTATCGGAAAAATATTTGCCATGGGAACAGATAAAATGGTTCGACTTTAGAATGCGAGTGTTAGAGCTAAAGGTGTTCGAGTTATCGAATTATTTTTATGTGAAAGTATAAGTGAGGGTTCAAGGGGAACTCAAAAGTAGTTCGATTTACTGGAACTTCTAGTTATCCGGGGTTCAAGATATCAGGATTTCTCTGTAGTTTAAAGACAAAAATATATTAATAATGTTTTCGTTGTGTTTATTACGAAAAAAGTATAAGCTAACCGGGGTAAAGAGAAAGATTTGGCCGAAACGGAAGAAGAAAAAACGTAGATTGTAAAACAAAGATCGTTAAAAAAAGACCGTAGAACGAATCTAAAACAGCGGATGAAACTATGATTATGGTTGATGACTTATTATGGTGACTTAAATGGCTGTTTTTGTGATCCGTAAGGATTAAGGAATGGCCTAACTATATTGATGAAAACTTTAACATAGCTAGTAACGACTGGAGTTTACTATTTTTTTTTTTTTAAACTTGCTTATTGTATTATTTTCATTCTATAAGCTATTTTATTGATTTGCGATGTAAACATATCGACATATTGTTTGAAATGTCTTTTTAGTATAAAATCTCTGCATTTTTTTATGATATTAGATAAATTTCAATTTAAATATTATAATACTATCAGCAAAGAGATCGTCCAAAAATTACGTCTAACGATAGGGAGGGGGCCGAGATGTTAGCAATATTGTGACGATTTGTTACAGAGCTGACAATTTGTTCAGTTTTGTGACGCAACATTTTTTTCTCACAAGTTTAAAAACAACAAAATTAAAGCCTAAAGTATAAACTTTCAGTAAACTTATGGAAGTATAAAACAGAAGTATGAAACAAACATTAAAGCAAATGCAAGCCGTCTTGGGAGTATGCTCGCAACTGCCAATATAATGAAAAAATTAGTTTCACTGGATAAAAAACATCAAAATTCACTAAAATGATTTTTATTAAAACATTAAAAAAAGAATTATTCTGAGGATATACTTCATAGTTTTAATCATTAGGGGTCGTTCATAAAGTACTTATGCCAAAAATTTTAAAATTTGATCTCCCTCCCCCCTGTTGCCTTTGTGTACTCTTAATTCCTTTTCCCCCTTATAAAGGACGTATGTTTTTGAAATGGCCCTCACACCTAATTTTTTTTTTTAATGAAAAAGTATATTGAAAAAAAAAAAGGTGGAGGAGGTACCTTAGATACTTTATACGACCCAAAAGCTCTTTGTTTGTGGCACAGGATCCCAATTTTAAAAACGACGTCAAGTATATATGAAAGTATTAATTTAAATAGAGTTAAATAACGCATTGGTAACGTGTTCGTTTAGTCGAGTGTGAACTGCGGCTACGAAGACCGATGTTCTTTCACCGGTCGAGTCATATTGCACTTATTTTTGTTTTTATGGACGAATTAAATAAAAATAAACTATACTTACGGCGGGCGTTTTTTTAAGGCACCCCTATTTAGTAAGACCGTAAAAACAAGTCCTACGCGATATTAGTAAGATCGAAAACAAATCCTAAACTCAGTGCCGAGGATCCTCGCAGTCAGAAATACGTCATAATCTTTGCCGCGAACAGCTACCATTTTAGTTGGGGGAAAATAAACTTTCGTTCTGAAACGAAAACAATAGCATAACATAAAAGTCTTTAAAATGCCTAAGAGTTGTTTTGTCTGTAGGTGATTTATGATATATATATATATATATATATATATATATATATATATATATATATATATATATATATATATATATATATATATATATATATATATATATATGTATATATATATATATATATATATATATATATATATATATATATATATGTGTGTGTGTGTGTATGTATATATATATATATATATATATATATATATATATATATATATATATATATATATAATGTTTACATATATATATATGTAAACACTCTTTAACATATATTTGACCCGAAAGTGTGGGCTGAGAAATATAAGGTGCTAGTTTTTTGCTGCAACTGCGACTTTATATTTGGCAATATAATAGACGGCACCAGCGGGTTTTTGCACTTTTTTGTTTAGTTTCAGATCGGTTGGGCAAGTTTTGTGCTTCGAAAGAATGAAAACCATGTTTATTTCAAACTTTTACAACAAAACTATGATAACGTCCATTAATATTTGCGCGCTCCCTTAGTGAAAGGCTTGGGTTGGTCTTAAAACTGTTAACCAGTTTTCTAACTAGTTTTTTATCTTTAAAACCTTTTTTTCTTCCACCACCAGATTTACGTTTGATTGATCTTGTTTGAGAAAAACATTGGATTACACGACTAACGGTGTATGGATGTATTTGCTACGTTTCCAAATATTTGAGCATAATTTTTTCTCTTGTGTCTTCTTCTTTTGTCATTTTTAAAACTAATTTTAAGTTAAATCGAAAAACTAATACATTTTTTTGAAACCACAACACGTTGTAAACAAAATACAAAATAATTACAAAGATTTTAATATAACCACTGAAAAAAACGACGTTGTTATTTTTTCACATTTATTTTGTGTACACGCATTAAAACATTTACTATCAAACGTCAGTGACACTGTGACATAGAGCTAACTGTGGGTAACTATTTAATAAAAGTTGTGTGACACAATTGTTTACTCCAAAAAAAAGTGTTTTCTAAGTGTTTCATGCATGTTATATATACAACATTTAATCAAAATTTTTATATAAAAAAATATTTTGCTAATAAATATTATTATAGTTACATTAATTATAAAACTAATTATTATAGTAGACTATATGCATTTATAAACCATTTGTAAACTAAACAGCTTTATTTACAGGCATTATGCTAAAAATTTTGTTTAAATAAAATAATATAAAAGCAACTTTTTATTTTATAAATAATAAAACTAGTCACCAATTTCTATAAACAAAATATAAACTGGATAATTAAGACGATTATGATTTTATAAGTTAATGCATAATCAATTATGCCAGTTGCTACTTGAACGTAGCGCGCGTAGCAGTGGCGGATTGAGACTTTTTGGGGCCCGTGGCTGTTTTTTTGGGGGTTTTTTTTTGTGTGCCGCAGCGTAAAAAATAACTTTAAAAAAAGAAAAAAAAAGAAAGGTCCTCAAAACTATTTAGGGGCCATTAAAATTGTGGGGCCCGGAGCTGTAGCCCTCTTAGCCCCCCTCCTCCTTAATTTAGCACTTGAACGTAGTGAGTATTGCTTTGCTTTTGCAGCTTAAGCAGTTAACCATCTTGATAAATAGTTTAAAAGTTAAACGACCCATCTTAATTATCCTTGCTGGAAGCCTATAGTCATAGAGTGTTTTTCTAAAAAAACAAATTTAATTTTTTTTCTAAAAAAACATTTTCATTGGTTTGACAAAAATAAAAATAACTATCTTGCGAACAACTTTTTGAATATCAATAATCTAAAATTGTTTTATTCATTTTAACATAGTAAGATTTGTACTTTTTACAGTAAGGAATCCATATGTTGAAAAAACATTTAGGAAAACACTCTTCAATTGTGTTACAATCTTTAATAAAAACATCAAATAATGCATAATTGTCTCAACTTATAACACATAACTGTCCCAATTTATATTACTGGTAAAAAGATTTTGGTTGTATCTGATATTTAAGTTAAATAACATGCATAAATTTCCAACTTGAGAATAACTTAGAGAATAACAATCAGCGTTTTGTAAGCATGTAAAGATGCATGCGTCAACATCGTATGCCTCGTTTGAAGGATCCATATAAGTAACTATTGCGTCAGCTGTTTTAAATAAATAAACAAATATATATATATATATATATATATATATATATATATATATATATATATATATATATATATATATATATATATATATATATATATATATATATATATTATATATATATATATATATATATATATATATATATATATATATATTTATATATATATATATATATATATATATATATATATATATATATATATATATATATATATATATATATATATATATATATATATATATATATATACGTGTTTCAAACGTCAAAATGAGTCTGATGACAGAAGATGAAAAAGATACATATGAATTTGATATTGATGATAAAGATAACAATGACATGATTTTATCAAGATTAATTGGCCTCTCTTATCCCCTCTTGGCAACTTTCCAACAGACTCCCTGTGTAATTGTAATAATGATCTGCATCCCCCATCTTTTGTTTTTACGATGCATATTTTCAAGACAGGACCCAGATAAATAATACTATAATAAAAAATATCATATTTAATAAAATATTCAAATTTTACAAAAGCTAAAAGTATATATATATATATATATATATATATATATATATATATATATATATATATATATATATATATATATATATATATATATATATATATATATATATATATATATATATATATATATATATATATATATATATATATATATGGTCAGCTAGTTTTATCAAAACTGAAACGAAATATTAAAAAAAAATTAAAACTCCAGAAGAAACAAAACCATCTACTCTATTTAAAGTAAAATCCAAGTCTTTTTTTAGTCACTTTATTTTTAAAAGATTTATAAAATTTAGCTATTTTTCTACAGTTTATAATAACTCGGAAATTGTTTGAAAATAATTTTATCTCTATCTTGAAGAACTAACTTTTTTTATCTATTACATAATTTTTTGGTTATATAGTTAAAAATAAGACTAAAAATGAACAAAAAAAAACAAACTAATATTAAATTATTTTCAAGTAAAGCCAATTACTCACATATTTACTTTAAAATTCTATTTAAATTTTCAAACCTATGAGACTTTTTTAATTAGGATCCATGCAAAATTTTAAAATAGGTAGCTATGTAAATTAAATTATTGAGTCTGCTGGAAAATGGCATTTGTTATCCCCATTTTCAAATGTTCTAGAAGGCGATCTGACTCGTCTCAATACCGTCAATACAGTTGTCTTCTCACCATCATAAGCAGGACTTTTAAGGTTTTAATTAACAAACACTTAACCTCTCATTTTAAATATAATAATATACTTTCTGATCATTAATACAGAATATCGTTCATTAGATAGGTGTGGAGAAGCTAAGGCTAACACTCTCCACATTTCTAAAGCTTTTGATAAAGTTTCGCATGCTGGTCTTCTCCATAAGCTCTCCTCATACGGTGTCTCAGGTAATATCTTTAAGATTATTGAATGCATACAAATTGTAGAATAAAAGTTATTTTTGAAAAACTCCACTATTCTTTGTTTCCCGTAACTTCAGGAGCTCTTCAAGGTTCTATTCCTGACCCTATACTTTTTTTTTTTAATAAATATTACTTATCTCCCACTAAATCTCACATTTAAAGTGATTGCTTGGAGCGGGAATTTGAACTTGAAAAGGATCTCACATCTGCTACAGCATTAGGCTCCAAGTGGCTGGTGAACTTTAACTCAGAGAAAACTCAATTTTTTTCATCTAATCATTATTACAATAATCTAGATCTTACCGATTTATGAACGGTACTGTAATAAATGAGTTATTTACCTTTTACCTTCTAGGATTAAGTCTTACTTCCAATCTTTTTTTAAAACCAAATATCAAGTCGATTGCAAAACTAGCATCTGCTAAGGTTTCATCTTTTTATCCTGCTCGCCAATTTCTTACTCAGGATTCTATTTTTCAACTCTATCAATCTCAAATTCGTCCTTGTATGGAATATTGTTGCTATATCTGGGGCGGATCTTCTAATGATGCTCGTCATCTTAAAGGAAAGCATTCAAAAGCGCATTGTAAACAAACTTGCACTTGCTCTTGCAGGAAATATCCAACAAATATCACATTTTCGTAATGTTGCTTCCCTTTCTCTTTTCTATAAATACTATAATGGGCACTGCTTTAAAGAGCTAGCATCTTTTGCGCCATCTACTAAAATTCATTCTCGTGTTACTCTTCATTAATTAAGTCTCTTCTTTTTATTGTGACAAAAAAAATTTATTCGTCTAGTTTTTTTCCTCGAACATCAGTCCTTTGGAATTCGCTTCTTTTGTGTTGTTTTCCTGATTCATATAATTTGTAATCTTTTAAGTCGTCTGTTAATCGCTATCTTATTCTATAAACTTCATCTTTTCTCTTCGAATAATCTCTAACTCTAATAGTGATTGCTTGCAGCCTTGTTGGAAATGAAGATGTTGAAAAAAAATGTAAGTTTGAAGGGACTCAACAACCAAACTCTCGCTGCAATAAGTCAACAAAAACAACCAAATATATCACCATCAGCCTAAAGCAGAAAAGCAGAATGTGTTGAAACAAGTTACATTTAAACATAATGTCATATGAGAATCCGATTGCCACGTTTGCCAAAAAAAATTGTATTAGATTCACAACTTTTTTGTTGAACAAAAATTCAAAACTCAAATCTGTATGATATGTAAAGAATACTTAGAGATATAAAATTTCAAATTAAATTAGAGATATAAAAATTAGAGATAAAATTTGATAAAAAAAATTAGAGATTTAAAATTTCAAATTAAATCCACTTTAAATTGATTGGTGATCGGTTTTACTCTACATAATTTGTAATGAAATTAATTGTATCTTTTGAGTTTTGTGTCTTAGGAATAGTTTATATATGACGTCACACTAAATTTAATTTTTAAATAGAAGTAGAAGATCATTTGCTCTCTTGTACTGAGAATTTCCATGAATTTAAAGCCGTTTTTTTAAACCTTTCAAAACTACTTTAAAAACCTGCACGAGAGTTAAAAAACTCCTACTTTTGTTTCAGAGATAAAGTTAGAAAATTTAGGTTTAATTTAGGTAGTTTACAAACTGACTTAAATTTTGATGACTAACTCGATAAATTTTGATGACTAATTCGATAAAAACGGTGTTTTTCAAAACACCGTTTTAAAAAAATAATTTTTTTCTACATATAAAATAAAACATGTTAACGCAACCATGTTGGTTTAATTTACGCAAAATCTTGTCAATTTATACTTAATACATTGGTCAATATTGGGTTTCAAAATAAATGTTAAGTTAAAGTTAAAAAAAACAAACAGTTATACTAATAAGAACAATGTTGACCCAAGCAAGTGTAATTAACTTTGTGGTTTTTTAACGATAATAAAAAATTACCTTTAATAATAAGTGTATTAGCAATTTTAGTAACATCTGACATAGACAAGGTGGCATTGTCACTTAAGCCTCTATAAAATGAGTAGGTGTCTGCTTTAGGCGCTAAAGTAAAAATGAAAAAAACTTTTTAAAGAACCAGCATTAAAAAAAGTATCTTTAACCTATAATTATTCCATATAAAACCTTTTTATTTTTATGATAATATAAAAAGAAGGAGCAAAGTCAGTTTTTTTTTCTATACCAAGAAGTATCTATTTAAAGTTTTATACTATTTTAACGTTTATTATAATTTTTTGATGGTTTGCCATATAGCTTTTTTAAAAGGTTTTTGGTTAAAAGGTTTTCTTAAATTCTAATGCTTTGTCATTCTTTTACATTAACTCGAAAAAAGAAAAAGATGTTGTACAAAAAGAGCTATAAGCTATTGAGGTAAAATTATATCTTTTCAAAATGATATATTATTTACATCATTTCAAAATGATATACTATTTATATCTTTTTAAAATGATAAGTATTTAATGTACTTAAGTTTCTTTGTGAGTAAGGTTTTAACACGGAATAATGTTATAAATGTGCAACGAAATAACCCTAAATAAAAAATCAGAACCTTTTAAAAATGAAAAGTATAAAAAAGGTAATTATTTGAATGTTTTACAGTTTTTATTGTTAACATAAAAAATATGTTTTTTTATATTCTTAATGCTTTTTAATTAATCTTATATAAATTTTTTTTTTTAATTAATTGTTAATTGCAACTTCATTGAATAAAGTTGAAATTAAAATACACAATTTTAAAGGTTATATAAAAACTTATAATAAGATTATTATATTAAAATTATATAATTATGGAAATAAGAATAATATAATAAATAAAATACTAAAGTTAAATTTTCTCAACACGAAAAATGGGAGGTAGAACCTTATAATTCTCACGTCAATATATGCTATATTGCCTTATACCACAATAATAAGTGTATAAAAAATAATAAGTGTTTTAAGAAGTCAGTTTAACAAATTTGATTTTTTCAAACCTCAATAATATCTTCCAGATATTTTACTAATATGTTCCAAAGATATTAGAGAAATTTTCTCAAATTTGAGTTCAAAAAATAATATCCTTGAATATTTCTTAAACAATGTTGCGAAAATATACTCATATTCAAAAGATGTTAACACTCAAAGGTTTTGAAAATTAGAAAACAGTTGAAATAATTTACCGCTTTAAAAGCCACTTAAAACTATAAAGCCTTGTGTTTCTTATTCAATAAAAAATCATTCCTCATCCAAATAAAAATACCTTAAATGAAATAAGAACACCGGGATGGATGCTACTTCAAAAACATTAATATATATATATATATATATATATATATATATATATATATATATATATATATATATATATATATATATATATATATATATATATATATATATATATATATATATATATATATACATATATCATTAATATCTATAAATAGTAGTAAATATCACCACAGCTATATGGTGGTGGCACTGACATGAATTCTAGTGACGAGGAAAAAACTCAGCTTAAAAAGATTGTGTTTCAATCGTATTATCAATTTACTGTTTTCACTGTTTAATTTGGTTTTTGTCAAATAAAATTAAAATAGTATTTTAAAATCCATTAGCTATGTGCGTTTGTGTTACTATGTACGTTTGTGTAACTATGTGCGTTCGTGTAACTACGTGCAATTGTGTAAAAACTTAATTAAAGCTGAAAAGTTTTTCTTGCAGTTGACTAAGACATTTTCTTTTATAAATTATTAAAATTATCTTTGCATAAAACTGCATAAATTGCGTCAAACTTTTTTGACATGACAAAAAACACCAACATTGAGGAAACAAACTAAAAAGAAATTATTTTCAAAGTAAATCAGTTCAACCCGATTGGTAACATGTATCAAGTGCTCATATACAATTAAAATAAGAAATCCTATATTTTGATAACTATAATTGAATTTATTAAACTAACTAAAAATTAAACTAACCAATCAGAGTTGTTTTAATGGCGCTAACGTACACGTCTGTAATCCGAGGTGCAAAATATTATTGGATAGTGATATTGCGTAAAAGGGAGAGTCAGGACCGCATAAACATTAGCATGTAAAAATTATTTTTTGGTGAACATTTAAAAGATAAGTGAGGTTGATTATGGCGTTGCCAGCAGTTATTAATTTGTGTGATGAAGATATCACGTCAAATTTGTAAAATTGTACGTCAATCTTATTAAATAAAAAGAATAGCGGGTTGACACCTTTGTTTTTGATAACTAGTGTCAAATGGAGGAGTTATTTTTCCTATTTTTGATATAAGTATAAACCATAGAGAGTTAAATTTGTTGGTTTATATTTTTGAATTTTACGCCGTTTAAGCTATCTAAGACTAATCACCTTATTCCAAGACTAGTGTCACTAAGTTTATTCACTAAAAGTTTTTGATGCTCGGAGGCCAACTCTGATTATAGGGAGGGTTTTTTGCTAATTTTAAGCATTAATATTTTGCGCTACATGAGTTCATTATAACTAGAGTTATCAAGTCTAGTTACAGAAAGGTTGTTGTGACTAGAGCCAACAGAAAATATTTTCTATGGCTCGTTCTACCAAGCGCATAATTCCATAGAAAAGCTTTAATTGTGGCTGTTCCTATGCTAAGTCAACAATATCTTCGGATATAAGAACATTGTATAAAAAAATATAGCATGAAAATTTAAATAAAATAAAAATAAAAAAAAATTATTATATAAAGTATTAGAGATAACTTTAAAAGAGTTTGTTATTATTGCTATTGTTATTGTTGCTTATAAATATTGCTTTTTTTTTTTTGCTTTTTTTTTTTTGTTTAAAATTGTTTTTATGGTCGCATGTGCTGTTAACTTTTAATAGAAAAAGCAATATCCAACCTCTAGCCATCCGAAAAATCTAGCCTCCAAAATATGTACTCTCTCTAGAGATTACGAAAGATTTTTTTTGTTTAAAATTGTTCTTATGGTCCTATATCATTAAAAATCAAAAAACATTTTTGTTCAATCAAGGATCTCAAATAAATTTGACAAAGCTAAATTGAGTTATTTAGTAAATATGATCACAAGTTTTTTACTCGCGGAGTCTGAAGTTAAATAAAAAAATTAACTTAACTTTTAATCACTAAAATCACTGCAAAAAAATTTTCTTCTACTTCTATTCTTCTACTTCTTCTACTTCTATTTACTAAATAAATTTTTGCGTAATTTATGGACGTTCCCTTATCAGGGATCGCTGTAGCTTTTTTGATATTTAAGAAAAATATCTTTCAGTCATGGAGCAAAAATCAAAATTTGTTTATAGTTATTTTAATTAGGATAAAAAATATTATTTCAATTAAACCGGTACAAAACGAAACAATTTATATACAATATCGCAAAAAACCGTACAAAACGTAACAAATTTTTTTGTTTCGTGAAAAATACGGTACAAATCGAAATAATAATATCTTGTTTTGTAAAAACCGGTACAAAACGAAATAAGGTTAAACTAAATAAAGTTCGAAATAACCGGTACAAAACAAAATAAAGTTAAACTTTTCAGTTAAAGATTCGTTAACGAAACATTAATTTAGTGAGTATTAAACGCGCGTTTGTTCTGTTTGAATGTTATAGTTCATGAGTTGCTTGGGTTGTGGGAATTGTAAAATATCTGTTAGGACTGTGGAAATTATGAAATGTTCCGTAAAAGCCGATACGAAACGAAACACAATTTTCTTGTTTTGTTAAAATACGTACGAAACTAAACAAGCTTTACTTGTTTCGTAAAAATGCGATACAAAACGATATATTTTTTGTTTCGTAAAACGGCACGAAACGAAAATTATCGTTTTCTACCGTGACAAGCCGAACTTCCGAAAGGATATGAGAAGACGCTGATGTCTCATTTTTATACCAAATGAAAATGCTTTACAAAAAATTGTTGTTATTTGTGCCTGGAAACAACAAGAACCATAAAATTAGGCCCTATTCCTCTATCCTTAAATGCGAGGACAATAATTTACTAAGTTTTATGCTGTTACTATTTAAACTAAATTTATATTTAATAATTGACTTTAAATTTAAATGAATAAAATTTAAGTGTTCGAATTTTTTATTCGCATAAAGTTTGCAAACCTCACGAAATGAGGGGGTTATAACAATAGATAACAAAATGAATGCCAATTATTATAAACATAATAATTCAAATTGCCTAGCGTCATCAATTGTCCCAATTCTGGTTTAGAAAATTTTGGAATGTACAGTCTTGATAATTGCATTATTGGTCCAACTTCGGTACTCGAGAATGATGGAAAAGCTACAGACTGAGGGTTTATCGATCGAGACGTTGATAAAAATTACAGAGGTGGTGCTGATACTTTTGAGAAAATTGGCGGTGATTATGCTACTGCTGATGGTAGAGATGGTAACAATTTTTCAAATAATGCTTAATTTAATTGGGATGGTGTGAGTTTGTTTACACTTTAAGACGCATTTGATAAGTCGTGTTGGTAGATTGATGGTGCACAAAGCTTTTCCTTGCTGGTATTGCAAATATGAATTAGATTTGTGTGACTTAAGTGGGTTCTGTAATTTTTTAAAAAAATAATATTCTATTCCTCATTGTTTTTTTAACTTTTTTTAAAAAATTGTTAGATCAAGGCGTAGTCTGAAAGACTTAGACTTCGGGAAGCTTAACTTCACTGCTCAAAAAAGGCTCCAGAGTCAATCCAGCTACTTACAAGGTAATCTTTATCACCTCCGTACCCACAATTGTCCAAAAAGGAGTATTAACATCTTTGGAAATGACTCTAAAAATCCCTTAGATGGGTTATTCTATAGGTTATGGGATCACTTTGAAACAAAAATTAAAATCATTAAATTACGTCCGCAGGAGAATATTGCATTTAAAGTTTTTGCCTAATTTGCACTTAGAAACTTAATTTTATTTTGCATTTCCACTGCTAAAAGTCACTAAAAAAAACCTTTTATTTTGTCTTAAATGTTTCAAATATCTCTAAACAACATTGTATTTATTTATTATTAACTTATTGTTTAACTTTTTTTCCTTCTTTATTAAAAATTCAAATTTAGGCAACAATGTTGAAATATGTTGGCGCCAAATTTTTGCTGCTGAAATAATTTAAATAAATAAATTTCTGTTAAAAATTAATTTGTTTTTTTCAAAAAATGCCCGATTCATCAAAAACTCATGGTGTATGTAGAAAATCTATTTGTTTTTTGTGTTTGAAGAAAAATGATCCATATTAACTGATTTTTTGATTAAAAGAGTCAAGATTATTTTTAAGTGTAACATTAAATTAAATGATGAGAAAATTCCTACTGGCATTTGCAATTTATGTAGAAGCAAAATACAACGACTTGATGCTGTTAGTATTGTTGGACAGATACCAGACTTGTACAATTCGATTATCATTACTTGCCAGTGTATAATATGAAGGGTGGCCAGAGTATAATATTTAGGGTGGCCATATTAAAACTCAAAGAAAATTTGACACAGATTAAGCTTAATATGTTGAATCAAAAAACAAATGTCTACCCTGAAACTGACCGTATCAAAGCTTTCAGCACCTAACCTTCATCATCACAGCCAGCGGAAAAAAGATACAAAATTTGTTTGTCAGTACTTGCAAAAGGACATCCACACTTTTGTACAAGGTACTAGGCGGAAAAATTTACAGAAAATTGATGTGGAGAACCATAAGTGTGCTGAATTTAGTAGCTTATTTAATCTTTAAAAAATATGCCTCTCCAGGAGGTACTTAGACGAGCAAGTAGAAGTAAATCTTTAAAAGTTCTGCCAGGAAATTCAGTGAAATAAATGTAGCAACTATTTACTGCTAAAACATTGGTCCAAGTTCAAAAAAATAGAAATCTTTCCAATGTTGGTGTGAAAAGTCTTGCATCAGCTCTAAAGAATTCATTGGAAAAAAAAAGCTGTAGAGGCAAACGAGAAGCGAAAACTTGCCAATCTCTGGAAAAAATTAGCAAATTTTTTCATGATGTCAAATGTTGAGGACAAATCAGGACAAAGAAATGAAATATCAAGTTCGAAAAGTTGTTCCCTGCAAGAACTTGAATGCCTTAATCAACCATATTTTCTAAGTAAAAGGACTAACATCACATCATTTAATTAAACTTAGCATTGATGGATGTGGTTCATTTTTTAAAATTACCCTTAGCATAATTGACACATATTCCGAGTAAAGTTATACTCAAGAATCATCATGTCTCCAATCAAGTTCATCTGTCCAGAATGGTAGTGTACAAAGACAGCTGGTTGTTGCTGCAGCAGAAGGTATTCCTGAAACAAATGAAAACATTACAACGCTATTAGGCCTCATACAAATGGAAGATGTGTCTTAAATAATTTCATGTGACATGAATGTAGCAAACATTTTATATGGTAACCAGTCTCACTATAGCCAACACCCATATTGCTGGTGTGATATTGAATCCAACAACCTTACAAACTCTGGAAAATCAAGAACTTTTAGTTCTTTATGCAACAGTTATGCTGAATTCCTCCCTTCAGACGCAAAACTTCAATCAGCTAAGAATTTGCAAATGTTGTCCATCCTCCATTAATTAATCCCAACAGGCAATCTGAGCATATTCTTGATGTAATTCCTCCAATGCAACGCCATCTTTTTTTTGGAATCTTTAACCATATTTTCAAGCAACTCCTTGAATTATGGGATGGCACAAGAATAGCCGAATCACTTGCACTTTCAAATGCAAACATATCATCGGGGACAGTTTAAGGGAAACGAATGCAACAAACTGTTGAAGAACGTTGAAATTCTTCAGAGTATTGCCCAAAAGCATTGTGGATTGCAAGCAATGCCTTTATTACATGACATTGTAATAAAGACATGCCAGATAATTACCAGATTGAAAGTTTTTGTTGATTGTTACAAAAAGTTTAAATCTATTAAAAAAAATTTTTTTTGGAAAGATCTTGGAGGCAGGATTCTTTCAAAATATTTCAGAACTCAAGCATTCTTACCTAGCTCTTGGAATTTCAGTTACTCCTAAACCACATGTAACTATTCATTATTTAAATAAATTTTGTGAAAAAATGAAGCTTTTCAGTGAGCGAACTCCTGAATCAAATCATGCCAAATTCAAGATCCACTGGCGAAGGCTTGAAAGACAACCCTCTCATCTGAACATGGAGACAAACTTCTGAGTTGTGTTATTATTCTCAACAGCAAACACATTTGAAATTAAATTGTTGTCGATTAAAAACTCTCAGGAGAAAAATCTCATTCAGAGTATATTTTCGTGTGTGTAACTACTTATTTTTAACAGATGTACAGCCTCGATATCAAAAAAATATCTACAGTCTCAAACTTGTATTGGTTGAAGCTACTTTGTAATTCAGTGTGTCTCCTGCAGACGTAATTAAATTATTTTAATTTTTTCTCTAAAGTGCTCTCTATTACCTATAAAATCACCCCTCTAAGGGATTTTTCGGGTAATTTCCGAAAAAGTTAGGACTTTTTGAGCAACTGTACCATGCAAGATAATGGAAAAAACTGTAAAAGCCAAGTTAATACAGCAACTTGAAGAGAAAAATTTTACTGATAGTCAACACATTTTTATCAATAAAAAACTTCACAAGTCTGATTAAAAATATGGACTTTCTAACCTACAGTGTTTCTCATAAGCTTTCTATAGATGTGTTCTTACTTTACTATTCCAAAGCTTTTGTCAAAGTACCTAAAAAATGAGTATTTCAAAACTTTGAATCCTACGGAATTGAAAGTAAAGCTCTTAGCTGGATTAAAGACTTTCTTTAAAAATAAAAAAGGCACTGGATACTGTTCATTTCGTAGGTGGTGTTTTTATCGACTTACAAAAAGCGTTCGATACCATTAATCATACCATTTTAATTTCTAAAATTGAACATTACGGAATCCGAGGAGTTTGTTGTAACTGGTTTAAATCTTATCTTTCAAATCGATAGCAGTTTGTTAGCATTAATGGCTACAAATCAAACAACAAACATATAGTTTGTGGGTTCTGGTCTTGGGTCTTTATTGCTTTTAATTTATATTAATGATCTAAATAACTCTGTCCGCTTCTCATCAGTCCATCTTTTTGCTGATGATACTAATATCTTGCATAATAATAAGTCTCATCATTCCTTGTGTAAGAATATACACTTAGACCTAAAAGGTTTAGATCATTGGCTAAATATTTTCCTCTTCTCCAAGAAAAAATCTTTTAAACAACAATCATATAACTAAGATTGAAATTAATAATAAACGTTTATTTCCAACACACGTTGTTAAATATCTTGGTATTTTTATAGATTCAAACATCTCATGGAATTTTCATATAGATGCACTCCTTAAATACTTAATCGAGCTAATGACATGCTTTCAATAACTCGCCATTATGTTGATAAAACTCTTAATAATTCTCTTAAGAATCTGTATTTTACAATTTTTTAATCTCATCTCATCTACTGTTGCCAAGTTTGGGGAAAAATTGGCAACTGTAATATTAATGAATTATTATCAACTCAGCGCCAATCAATCCGAATAATTAATTTTCAAGTCCATAATACAGAAACTTCAAAATTCTTCAAAAAACCTAAAAGTCCTCGTCAGGACTAGTTAAACTTGCTAATCTTCTTTTTGCTTTTGACTCCCTTTATAAGAATTTACCTTCCTCTATTACAACCTTCTTCACTAAAACTCGATTTATACATTCACATTTAACTAGGAACATCATTTAAAATAGTTTTTACTATTATTAACTTTCTTTAGTTTTCTTTTTTCTTTTTTTTTTACTATTTTTATAGAAACTTTATCATTATTATCATTATTATTTAGTACTTTCAAACTGCTGTTTTTATTATCACTATTATTATTACAATTATTATAAATACTATTGTTTTTGTTGTTACTTTTGCTCTATTAATGAATAAAGTTCTTATTGTTATTATTATTTTTTAAATTAATATAATTATTTGGTGTAGCTCCTTTGATCAGGATTCTGCATGAGTGACTCCTTCCTCAATCAATTATTTATATTTATTCTTAATAATTATTTTTTGATTTTATTATTTATAATATTATAGATATTATTGCTGTTATTATTTTTATTATTATTATTATTTATTATTACTATTTTTATTACTATTATTTACAACATTAAAGTTATTCTTATTCCTATTGTTGTTACTATTGTTATTAATGTTGTTATTATTATTATCATTATTAATATATTTTTGTAATTATATGAATGTAAATTTTGAGGAAAATAAATATCTTGTTGATGTTGTTGCTGTTGTTGTTGTTGTTGTTGTTGTTTTTGTTGTTGTTGTTGTTGTTGTTGTTGTTGTTGTTATTGTTGTTGTTGTTGTTGTTGTTGTTGTTATTGTTGTTTCTTTCAAATTGATCACAACGCATTCTTCTTGGTAATATCTCATCGAACTGGGAAAAAGTTATTATTGGTGTTCAGCAAGGATTAGTGCTACGTCCTACGTTGTTTATAATCTTCATCAATATCTTACTAGAACACGTCAATAGTGAGACACTAAAGTTTTAAGTGTAGTCAAAGCCGCTAAAGACAAAGCTTGTCTTTAAACTCCAAAAGAAATCTTTCAAGCTACTAAAGATTAAAAGTACAAAAATTAAGTTACCAACGCCGTTGCTAAGGCTGTTAATGTCCTTGGAATCTTAAAACACACCTTCAACAGGAGAGACACCAAAAAATGGTTAAACTTTACACTACCAATATGCGCTCACATTTCAAATTAGCAGTTACCGCCTGGTGCCAGTACCTTGAAAAATACCTAAATGTTATAAAATGCATTCAACTCTGGGCTACCATAGTTCCGCATAAGTAGCACATGACTTCTCCTAAGATCCTACCAAGCTACGGTCATTGCAAGCACTTTTATTGTAAAACAACAAGTACTTTGTTTGTTTCAATTTTTTTAACAACCGCGTTGATCACCCATAAAATAAATTGTGAATTTTAATGTAAATTTAAAAAAATAATAATTAAAAAAAGCATAAAAAAAATATTCCCTACTTAGTATATATAAGTTTCTTATGTATCCTGGTGTTGCACTCCACAATGGACTGCTGACATAAACAAGAACGTTTTTAAAGAGGCCAACTTTAGTGTTTTGCACTGAATGAACGATCTCATCATTAATTTCGATAGAAAAAAAGTAGTTACCATTACTCAAAAACTGTTTTATTGTTACCTTAGTCCATTCCATTAGTGGTAAGGATTTTGTATAAAAACAATAACGACTGTTTCCGTTTACTGATGAGCAAATTTCTGCACTGTTACTGCTAGGTGTAAAATATACACTCGGAATTCTGGATCCGTCATCATACTCATTTCCATTCGTGATGTGAATTACATTTGACCATTCGTTTAAAGTGGAAGTTAAATAAATTTCAAAAGATACTTCATATTGGAAATAAATTGTTACGTTGCCAAGGTACCTGTTTTTGATTATCTCTCTTTGCACTTTATCTACAAGCGTTTCTAAAAGTAATTGAAAAATCTAATGTAATTGCAATAGTTGCGAAGTACTTGAAAAATCAAAAGTTCTATAATTTTCATTTAAAAGAAACTCTTTTTAATTAGCAATCAGACACTACTATTAACACTACTGACTCGGGCAGTGATTCAGTTTTTACATTTGAATTTTTTATAAAAGTAATCTTATCTTAATAATTATTAAAATGTCACATAGAGTTATTCTTCTTAATAGTTGTCTCGTTTTTTTTTTTTAATTATTTAGGTGCCCCAAGAAGACCTAACAGTCCGTGAAGCGAAACATGTCCTAAGCTCGTTTCGAACCTGGATCTCCTGATATAAATTGCGCCACAGCTGCACGATCTTTATATAGTAGCTAGCGATCGTCGAGGCCAAATCACTTTTAGTCATTACGAGTGTCGCTAGTTAGTCGCTAGTCGATTTTCCGAAACTTAAGAAACTTTTAAGAAAAAGCAACAATATAGTAGATTAGATTAATATGAGCACCTTAAGAAAAAATTGGAATATTTTTAAAAATAGGTTGGATTCAAAACTTTTGCGAATAAACAATTTTTAGGGATCTCAACTCATGATCCACTTGTTTGGGCACCCAAAATATAAAGTAGTAAAAGAACTCGTATTACTTAGACCACTTGGTAAAATGAGCATATTAAATAATTTAATATGCTCATTTTACCAAGTGGTCTAAGTAATACAAGAAAAAGTGTCTTGAAAATTAATCTTTTAATCATAAGTTTTGTTAATAATGAACCATTATATTCCAAAAATTAGTTCTAATTGTCAGGTTGGAATTTTTAATTAATCTTATTTTTTGAGCTAATTTAATTTAAATTAGCTCAAAAAATAATATTAATTAAAAATTCCAACTTGACAATTAGAACTAATTTTTGGAATATAATGGTTCATTATTAACAAAACTTATCATTAACAGATTAATTTTTAAGCCACTTGAAACGAAATTACTATGTTTTCCGCCAGTTCGTTATTTTTTCAATTTTATTAACTCAAACCTTTGCACGATAAAAGTTCGAATTTTTTGAATTTAAATTACAGAAAAATATTTATTATTGTTAAAATATTACAATTTTTTACTGCTTTGCTTTTATTCAAAAAGCAATTAAAACCATTGCTATATCAGAACTTTAAACTATGTAATTTCAATGAAAAACACTGGGTAATTTATATAAAAATAAAAACTGCTTTTTTGAATACAATCAAAACTAAATATTTCTATGCATTGTTTTTCAAACTAAAATAAATTGGCTTTTTGGCAAATATACTATTCTTTATGAAAAAATTAATTTCATTATTTTGCACCAAAATTTCGCGCCACAGATATATTCATGCGTCATGATTTTATTTTAACAACGAAAAAATTTTTAGAGTGTTCTAATTAGATAATAGCCGCTAATTACTGCATATAAATCACCACATAAATTCGATTCGAAAATACAAAGTAATTTTAACTTCACTGCTTACATCTAAAAAATCTTTAAGTATGCTCATATTACCAACGTGCTCATATTACCTTAATCTACCCTAAATCTAACGGCATAAGGCGCAAACAGGGTTCAAATGAAAGTAAGTCGTAAAAACAGGCCCCAACCCCTTTTACCACCACCTTTAAAAAAAAAAAAGCACTTATTGAGGCATAAAGTTATAAAAAACTTTCATTTTTAAGAATTACAAAAAAATCAAAACCTTAAATTTTGAAATTCTAAAGGTCCCCTTAAATTATCTAGGCCCCTTACATCCCAAAATAAGGGCATAGGGTATCTAACTACGGCACTGCGTAAAAGTAATCACTAGCTAAAATTTAATTTGATCAAATTTTTACAAATCGTTGTTGAAAAACTTTTTTAATAAATTTTATAAACAAAATGCAACAAAACTAATACTTTTGTATATTACAAAAATCTAAAGTTATTTTTTTCTCTAAGAGGCTAGAGGGTAGAGGGAAAATCAAGGGCGTTAGAGTATTTTTTTTTTAAAATGAACAACAAAAGAACTTCAAAATAGAAGAAAAACTTTAGTTCCGAAAATATTTTTGCAGTTTAACAGCAAACAAACTTAAACTTTGACATCGATTTTTCCTTTGTTAAAATCATGGACTTTAAAACAAGATTGTTCTAACGTTACAATATGTATCGTGGGGTTTTTGTATATCACCAATAGAATCGTTTTTAATTTGCTATTTTTTTAACGTTTAATATTAATGACCAGTTTTACGGGTCATTTTCAACTAGTAGAATACTTTTGCTGTATAAGTATTCTACTAGTTGAAAGCGGCCCATAACATGTAAAGGTTTTACGCAATATGTGTAATAAAACCGAGATATTACTCCTAAGAATAAAAATGATAAAGAATATTACGGGTTTTAGCACATAATATAGTTGTTTAATTAATCTTTTATTTTATTTATATATTTTGTTTGCACTATATAATATATTAAAACAATTTCAAAAATACTGTTTAAATAATACTCACAATAAATGACGATAGATAAGTTTGACATATTAAATTATGTAACACTATGTCTTATAATTTAAATTGAAATAATATTAATTGTCAATTTGGTATTTCCACTTTTATATAAATTTATCTACTCGGTGCAGTTAAGGCACTTTTAAAATAATATAGCGTCTGTATGATATTTTGTTGACAACGACATATTTCTGTTAAATTGTCAGGTCTGTGAATTATGAAAAAACGAAAAATATTAAAATGATAAATTTTGCGGTATTATAAAATGTAAATGTTTGTGGCGAAAAAAACCTAGACCAAATATATATATATTTTTTTAAAATCATCTTAAAATCACAATCGCTCGTACGAATTTGAATAAGATTTTAAATTAAATCGTTTTTTAGGTGAAATGATTATTATAGTTTAACAATATGATCTGTTCTGATTGTTTATTGGCAATTTTCCATTATTTTTCTATTCTAGTATTTTTTGTGAAAACTGATAGAATTATTGCGTTTTGACAACTATATAGTTGTATGTATGTATGTATGTATGTATGTATGTATGTATGTATGTATGTATGTATGTATGTATGTATGTATGTATGTATGTATGTATGTATGTATGTATGTATGTATGTATGTATGTATGTATGTATGTATGTATGTATGTATGTATGTATGTATGTATGTATGTATGTATGTATGTATGTATGTATGTATGTATGTATGTATGTATGTATGTATGTATGTATGTATGTATGTATGTATGTATGTATGTATGTATGTATGTATGTATGTATAGCTATATGAAGTTAATATACGTCAGAACCGATTAGAACTAGAATCAGTAGTAAATTAAGGAAATTTTTCAAAAGATTTTAACTAAATTCATGTTAACGCCGATGAGCGGAATTGATTTAAAGACTCCAAAATAATGTTTTTTAGATTCACTATTACGGGTAGCATTTAGATTTTGAAAATTATATATAAAAAAGAAAAATTTCTTTAAATATTAAAAAAACCTGAAGCAAACAAAATTATACCATCTAAAGCTTTTGTTTAAACATAATACGCTGATAAAATAATACTAATTCCAAATAAAATTATTCGAATAATTTGTAAATCGCCTTAACGATATATATGGGTAGTGTCATTCATTGTATCTAATTGTTAAACAATATTTTTGAAAATGTTTTTAACATAAGTTTAATCCTCCTCCGAAAACAAAACAAAACAAAAATTAAGAAAAAAACTTACGTAATAATCCACGTTTAAAAAAAAATAATAGAAACCAAATTTTTGACATATTTTAAATCTTTAAGTTCGTTTAAAAAAAATTTTTTTTTACGTTTTTCTTGCACTTTATGTGGTAAAAATGGATTAAAAAAAAAAAAAGGCCTAAATTATTTACTTTAGTTTAAAATATTAATTTAAATTGTTTAAAATATTACTTTTAATTATTCATACTTCAAAACAAATCTAACTGAAAACCACTGCCCATTTATTTTTAAGCAGTTTATTGCATTTTATTGATCAAAAAAGGTTTTTTTATCACTTACTTGTATAATAATATGTATTTGAAACTATATAGAAATATGTATTTGAAACTATGTCTTTTCATAACTAATATTTATTGTTATTTTGTCGTTTAATAGTATTAACAATTTAAATATTGGTAAAGAATTACAACTGCTTTCAATGTGTATATTGTTAAATAACTAAATATTGAATTGCATTTAATATATTCAAATGGAATTTATTTTTATGGATGCATCAGCTTGTCAAATTTTTTTTTTAAACTTTTCCGAATGTTCTTTACTTTATAGTTTTATTATTTTTCATTCTTGCTTAAATTTAATTTTGGCAGAAAAATGTATTTTCATCGTGTAAGTAGTCAAGTGTTAAGATTTTTTTTTATATCTTTGTTCTGGTGCATTTTACACGATCATGTTATAAAAATAAAGATACAAAAATAAACATAATAACATAACTTGTTAATATTAAATTAGCTAATAAAAAAGTAATACTTTTTTTTTTTTTTTACTTTACATTGCATGTACTTGGAAACTTTCCATTGCTAAAACAAAACATACACACATAATATTTGTGTGTATGATTTGTTTTAGCAATGGCAAGTTTCCAAATACATGCAATGTAAAGTAACTCAAAAAAAACATTACTTTTCTGTTAGCTAATATAATATAAATAAATAGTTTCATTTTTTCATCTTTAACACGATCATATAAAATGCACCATAACAAAGTTATAAAAAAAATCTTACATACATACACACAAACATGATATATGATATGTGTGTGAATGTATGCAATGATATTAGATATGTGTGTGTATGTATGCAATAATATTTGATATGTGTGTGTATGTATATATATATATATATATATATATATATATATATATATATATATATATATATATATATATATATATATATATATATATATATATATATATATATATATATATATATATATATATATATATATATATACATACACACACATATCAGACATAAAGAGGTTTTAACAATTGAAATATTAAACAATAAAACTAAAAACATTGTGATAAGCTGTTGTTATCGCCCACCTACAGGCGAAATTAAAACTTTTAGTACATTTTTACAAGATGATGTTATAAATAAAAGCAACCATGAAAAAAAATTACTTTACATATTAGGTGATCTGAATTTAAATTGCTTTGAGTATCATGTCAAAAAAGACATTAATGGGTTTTATAATGGCCTATTTGAAAACGGAGCAGTTCCTCTAATAAACAAACCAACTAGAATTACTCAAACAACAACTTCCTTAATTGATAACATTATAACCAACGATATTTTTAATAATTCGCTTAAAAAAGGCATTATTAAAAGTGATATATCTGATCACTTCCCTATATATTTTTCAATTGATATTTATGCGAAAATTATATGTTATGAAAAAAAATCATTTAAAAAACGAATTTTTCATAATAAAAATCTAGAATCTTTTAAATATCAACCATCGTTAATTAATTGGGACATTATAAACTTTTCTGAAGACATTAATTTAATATACAAATCCTTTTTTAAAATTTTTTATGAAATTTATGACATCAATTTTCCCAAAGTAGAAGTAAATTACAAATATAAAAAAATTGTATCGCCATGGATTACCAAAGGTATTCTAAAATCTTCAAAAATTAAGCAAAAACTTTATATTAAATATTTAAAATCAAAAACAACTGAGAGTAAGACTATTTATAAAAATTACGTAAGATTATTTGAACGCCTAAGGAAAAATTCAAAAAAAATATATTTCACTAATTTACTTGAAAAATACAAATTAAACTCAAAACGCACTTGGCAACTAATAAACGAAATTACTGGCAACACTAAAAAAATTTCGCAATCTTTGCCCTCAGTTATTAAAGTAGATGATAATCTTCTTCTTGATCAAAAATCAATTGCTTCTGAATTTAATAAATATTTTGTATCTGTAGGACCAAACCTAGCCGAAAAAATTCCGAACCCTAAAAAATTAATAAAAGCAACATATGACCCTCTAAACTCGTATCTAAATTCTTTTGATTTGTCTTTTGAAGAGTTTGAAAGTGCTTTTAAATTGTTAAAGTCAAATAAAGCAGTTGGTCCTGATGATGTCAACGGAAATATTATTATAAGCTGTTTTGATGTTTTAAAAGACATACTTTTCCAAATTTTTAAATGCTCTATTAATCAGGGAGTTTTTCCTGATGATTTAAAAATAGCAAAAATTATTCCTATATTTAAAGAAGGAGAAAAAACTAATGTAAAACACTATCGTCCAATTTCCATTCTCTCTGTTTTTTCTAAAATTTTAGAAAGAATCTTGTACAACAGAATATACAATCACCTTTTAACAAACAAATTATTATATAACATGCAATATGGATTCAAAAAAAATAAGTCAACAGAGCATGCAATTATTCAGCTTACAAGAAGTATATCAGACTCATTTAACAATTCTAAATTTACATTGGGAATATTTATTGATTTAGCGAAAGCGTTTGATACAATTGATCATCAAATTTTTATTAAAAAATTAGAATATTATGGTATAATAGGCAATGTTTTAAAATGGTTGAAAAGTTATTTAACTAATCGTAAACAATTTGTTTATGCTGATAAATCATTTTCATCAAGTTTGTTAAATATTACATGTGGAGTTCCTCAAGGATCCATATTAGGACCTCTTCTCTTCCTTATTTATATTAATGATCTATACAAAGCCTCGAATTTAATAACAATTATGTTTGCTGATGACACTAATTTATTTATGTCTCACAAAAGCATTCCTACTTTATTTCATAACGTGAACATCGAGTTATTCAAAATATCTGACTGGTTTAAGACAAACAAACTATCCCTGAACATTGATAAAACTAAATGGATTCTTTTCCATCCTCTTACCAAAAAACATAAACTGCCAATTAACATGCCTCCACTTGTTATTGACAATATACAAATTAAAAAAGTAACAGTAACTAATTTTCTAGGAGTTTGTTTAGATGAAAATCTTACATGGAAAAACCACATTAAAAACTTATCAAGTAAAATTTCAAAAAGTATAGGAATATTGTACAAAGCGAGAAATGTCTTAAATAAACAAACTTTAGTACAATTATATCACTCATTTATTCATTGCCACATAAACTATGCAAACATTGCTTGGGGTAGTGCAAATAAAAACAAACTTAAACCTCTTTATTGTCAGCAGAAGCATGTAGTACGTCTTATATATTTTAAAGACCGTTATACTCATGCCAAGCCTCTTTTATTTGAAATGAAAGTTTTTAATATATATGAGATTAATATTTTTAATATTCTTTGTTTTATGTTTAAATGTAAAACCAATTCATCCCCGATTTCTTTCCATAATTTGTATTCATCAAAAGATAAAAATAAATACATTTTACGTAATAATAATTTTATTAAGCAGCCCATTTTTCAAACAAATCTTTTTAAATTTTGTATTGATTATCGCGGACCATTCTAATGGAACAAAATAGTTTTAAAAAATTTTACTGAGGATTTTATTAATCAAAGTAACTACTTTTCTTTTAAACAAAAGCTTAAAGAACTCATTTTTGCAATCGATGATTTAACAATATACTTCTGATATTTTTTGTGATCTTTATTTTTACCATTTATTTAAACATGAACTTATAAAAAGTATATGTGTATCCTTAACAACTATAATTTACATATATAATAGATAAAACGCATCTTGTATTTATTATGGATTATTTGAAGTTTCTTACTTTTGTTAACTTATTTTTATTTTTTAACCTTGTAATTATCTTTTTAATTTTAACACGAACATTTCTTAGCGGTACTCGACGACAAGACCGTATGGTCTTCTACGAGTCCCCGCGTTCTTTTATTTTCTAATAACGACCATTATATTTATATATAAATTTATTATTATATATTTGTATTTGAAATATTGTAACGAAATGCTTATTTTACATGTAATAAAAGAACAAAAAAAAAAAATATATATATATATATATATATATATTATATATATATATATATATATATATATATATATATATATATATATATATATATATATATGTATATATATATTTCTATGTACGCGGAAATAACGATTTACGGAGTCGAAATTTGTACTGAAATTCTGTGACTTGTTTTTTCGACGTTTTTTTAGGTATCTAAAGGCAAACATATTTTTGAGGAGTTTCTTTTTAGAAACATATATACACATAGTATATTTTTGGAAAGAAGAAGAGTTAAGCTTGTTTTTATGTTATTTTCACGTACGGTTGTTTTACCATTTTTTGGAGCATTTGGCTTATGAATAATAGGTTGGTGTTTACTTGTCAAGTTCTTTTCGAAGGATTCTTTATTCCGCTTTTTTGATTTTTTAAATAAGTTTTTATATGAATTTTCTTTGTACGCACCAAATTTTATCAAAAAATATAATGAAGCAGATAGTTAAATTAGTTTAGCACTTTTGGTACCCAATTTCTAATTTTCTAATTATTTTTAGCGGATTTCCTTCTCATTTTTTTTGAATAGGGTTAAGCAAACGTTTTTTTGTTGTGTTTTTTTAGAGAAACATATACACACATAATATATTTTTAGAAAGAAAAAGGGTTAAGCTTGTTTTTTGTGTAACCTTTTTATATGGTTGTTATACCTTTTTTTTGAGTACTTTGCTCAGAAAAATTATGTTGATGTTTACTAAATTATTGTCGAAGGAATCTTTAGTCCGCTTTTTTGTTTTTTTAAATAATTTTCTAGATGCATTTA